CCTATTAGACTAAAAATAAACAGACGAATGACTTCTATATACAACCCGATGTACAGTTTTATTTAAGAAATCACTATTTTACAGGAGAATGATAATGTAATTGTGATTCAATCAAAGCTTATTAATAGTTCTTACATCGAAAATATGAACAACAAAAGTTTATTAACGTTATTTTTCCTGTCATTGAAATAGTTAGGTATAGTGGGTCTTCGCTACATGTTTTGTAATCCACATAAGACATTACCGTAAATCTGGAAATTTTAACGTCGATTTATTTTTGCAAATTTGGGACATAAAGCTGTTGATTAATTTTTACGCTTCAAATTTTTTCGAATTGTCACAGGTGCTAAAAATAAAAATCACTGAAGATTTTCATATCAGGTTATGCCCAGTTAGAATACCACCAATATACTCGCAACGTGGCAAGTGCATATAAGCAACACCCATCAGCCACGCAATTCTAAATTTATAGGACCCGACACAGTGCTGTGATTTTTCTATGTTTCTTTCATTTTGACATCGTTTTGAATAAGTTATTGCTTATTGACATTAATGTTTTCTCAGCAGTGTGTTTCGGTGGTTTTATATCGTATTGATGTATTAAAAATCTAAATCACGGCCCCACCTTCATCGGGGATCCTGTCGTAATTTCTATTGTGGCAAAATAGCATTTGTTAGCAAATCTCCAATACTTTATTGCTTAGCATATGCAATCATTGGTTTTGTTTAAAAGATGTGTTTACATGTTTCATATTTCAAGATTGATGACCAGTATTTTAATAACTTGGATTTCAGACCTTTGATTCTTGGATCATACTTTGTAATAAGAACATTAGGTATTTCCTTTGTTTTCTTAGTTTCTTGTAACGTTATGACTCTGTTTAAAGCCAAGGAGTCATTAATAATTGGGTCAATCTCAATTTTCTTGTACTCTCCTTTTAAAAGATGTGATCTGAACTCGGCAAGTTCTTCCTTTAATTGTGTCTTGTCACTTGTATTGCGAACATGTCTTATACATTCCCCCTTAATAAAACCCTCAAATACTGATTTGGGGTGAGCGCTGTGGCGGTGCAAATATTGAAATGTATTTGTTGGTTTTATATATGACTTCACATCAAGAATATGATAATCTTGGAATCGGGTTCCTTTGTATACACATGTGTCCAGAAATGGTAGTGATACCTCAGATAATTCATATGTAAATTTCAGTAAGAGATGGCATTCATTTGCTGTTTCGAAAAACGTTTTATTTCGTTTTCCGAGCCATCATAAATCATGATTCCGTCATCACGGAATCGCCCATGAAAACAAATTTTCTGTTTGTATTCTGAGTTATTTACTAACATTTCAGTTATTTGATACATTCTAATGTCCGATATTTCTGGACTACTGGGGCTTCCCATTGGACACCCGATTGTTTGTTTGTAATATTTGCCATTGAATTCAAATATTGTGTTTTCTAGAATGCACTTTAGTAAAAACATCAAGTCAGCTGTTTCAGGACAAGGAATGTAGTGCATGCTGCAGTCGAAATTCGATAGCGCTTCTTCTACCGCCGTAGAAAGTTCATTGAAGGTCATATTTGTATACATTGATGTTACATCGTAAGTGACGAGTAAGCAGTTCTTTGGCGGTTTGATACTTTCAATTTTATTGATGAAATCTTTAGTATCTTTGATATACGTTTTTTGAGATTGAACAATAGGTAGTAGAAAATAATCCACGTAATGACTAATTCTTTCCGTTGGTGACCCTATTTGTGATATGATGGGTAGGTACATTTTGGAAATCTATTGTCATTTTCTCTCATTTTATGTACCTTAGGCAATAAATAGAGTCGCCCTGGTCGTACATATATTCTGTTTGTTTGTTTTTGTAAGATATGAGAATGTTTGTTTGTCTAATTTTCTTTTCTGAAACATTTCATTTAGTTTGTTCTCTATAGTTTTATAGATAATAGACAAATTAGGTTTTTCTATTTCAGTATAATACTGTGTTGATAATTGGCGCAGACCCTCTTCAATGTATTGTTGTTTATTCATTATCACAACAGTGTTACTTTTGTCTGCTTTTTTGATAACGATGTTTTTATTGTTCAGTAGGTCATACATTGCCCTCCGTTCGAAAGGTGATATGTTAGAAACATTTGATTTGATCTGAATTGATGACACCTCTAATTGTGTGAGATCAATATAGTTTTCGAGTGCTTGGCATGTATAGCTAGGTTTATAACCCGTATTTTCTCGAAATGGATGTAAACGTTCATTTTCATCCGTGCTAAAATGATATTTGCATTTTAGTTTTCTTGCAAATTCCAGAAAATCTTTCATGACTTTGTTTTTGACGTTTTTTGTTTTAGGAGTCGGGATATATTTTAATCCCTTTGATAATAAAAATGTTTCACTCTCTGTAAGTGAATGATTGGAGAGATTAAGTACGTAGCTTTGAGCTTTACTTGACCAGTGCTTACCGACGCCTATTCACTAAGTTAAAAAAAAAAAGACGAGTTCTCAGAAAAAAAATTTTCACATGTTGATTTATTTTTAAGAAAAATATTTTTGCGAATGCAATGCACGCGCAAATTTGCTAAAAATTTATCTACAGTAAAAAATTTCCAGATTTACGGTATTTTAGCCAACATTACGTCTCGTAAATAGTTCGTACTTTTATACATTGCAAGTAATTAAGACTTTTGTTCTTTCTATACTCCATTTAACGATGTTCGATCCTGATATTTAAAGTCTTAAACTTTTTTTGCCAAGTATAATTTTAGTTTCTAAATACATAGCTTAATTAAAATTCAAATCAAAAAATGGGGATCAATATGCTTCTTTTAGCGCTTCAGTACATTTAATATGACCTTTCTGCGCTGAAATTTTTGTAGTAATTAAAAATTACATCTTCGACGTTTTCCCTCCAATATTTTTATCCAATTAAAGCATGAAACAAAATGAACTCTAAGTCTGTTTAAAAAAAGACACTTTAAAATTGTGACTAGGAACATTTTTCAAATTGCTTCGCATAATCAATCCCTTGACCTTTCTGCACTAAAAATGTAATTTTTCTTGCATTGAAAATTTAATAATCAAGAAAATTATTTTAAAGATTTAAAGCCTTAAACTGTTTTTGAATTTAAGCAAATAGATCAAAGTTATCTTGAATATTTAGAAAAGAACATCAAAAGTGGGGGTATTTGATGTACATTTTCAGATATTACTAAAAATGTGAATTTTACGTTAAAATTGGCTCAATTTTTTTTCCCGGATTTTCAGAATATATATACTATATTTGTCACGCTTTGTTGATAGAATTCACAAGAAATAATTTAATAGATATTTCAGAACCAGCATAACCGATTTCATTGCAAAAAACAGCTTTGTGTGCAACCAGCATGAAAAAATTGGCATCCAAAATTAACAGTACTGTTATTGTTCAAATGGAAAAAACTGACCATTTTCGTCTAAAAAACCTTCCGCCACAAAATATAGTCCATAGCTTAATTCTACTTGAATGGAATTTAATCGCGGTTTTTTCATTGAATTTAGTTTAATTTGCATTGTAGAATTCAGTTTTATTATTAGAACCTAAAAATGATGCTTAACTTTATGAATGAAAGACCTGCGCGAAATGCGTTCAAAATATCAGGATCGAACGTCCTTAATAGTAATTATATGCCTTTTGAAAACTATAAAAATTTACCCTTCAGCGTTTTACGATAGGGTTATGGTAATATGTACGTTCATAATATTAAGACTTGATACTGGAGGTATATACTGTTCTATATACTTTTCACACAGAGTATCGCCTCACGTGTTTTTTCACCTCCTTGATCACTCTCGTGTAATTAAACACTTCCTCTCTATCCCACTTATCCTTATTTACCTGTCGTCGTATCCTCTCTAGAACAGACACCCCCTCTCTGTCTAACACAGAATCATACTCTTCGTACCTCACCCTGACACTGACATCCACCCCCGACTCCAGGAGAATCTGCACATTATCCACCCATCCGTCGTCATAATAACCCCTATCAATCTGTGTGAACAGCAGAGGTTTCACATCATACTCATCATAATCAGTATACAACTGTATCCACTGATTGACATCCAGACCCACACATACAAGATGCTTTAAAGCCTTACAATCACTTTTTACGACCGCATAATACAAATCTTCCCAGTCCTCCATACGCCAAACACGTCTCCGTGTCACCACCACATCATCCTTACTGTCAGTCATCACGTCACTGTGTCTGATGTTTACCAAACAGTCGAACAAATGTAACTTCATTCTTTTCAAATGTCTTTCATTCTCTGTTCTTAATAATTGCTTTACAGAACCAATTTCATTCCTAATTAATGCAATAAAGAAAGCTGACATGCTTTCATTATTTTTGATAGTTGAGTCAACACCATACCCATCAAACATTCGTATTATAGCAGGGATGAAATTTTTATGAATGATAAAAAAAGCTATAGAGAGAGGAGTGTTTCCTGCCTTATCCTGCATATTGACATCACTTCCTGCGTCTAGCAGCTTTTTAGCTATATTCATATACCCATTCTTACATGTTGCTGTCAATGGTGTATCACATTGTCCTTGTAGATTGACATCAGCCCCTGCCTTTAATAGCCCGATCACAATACTTGTATGCCCCTTGTTACAAGCTGCTGTCAGTGGTATATCGTCATCTCCTTGTAGATTAATATCAGCACCTGCCTTCAACAGCTCCATCACAATACTCAAATGTCCGTCATAACATGCTACTGTCAGTGGTGTTTCATACTTTCCATGTAGATTTACGTCAGCCCCTGCACTTAGCAACTCTTTCACAATTCTCATATATCCACCCTCAATTGCTGCTGTTACTGGTGTTAAAAATTCATCCTGAGGATTAACATCAGCTCCTGCCTTAAGTAGCGTTTTAACCACATTCATATATCCACCTTCACATGCTAATGTCAATGGCGTAAAGGTTAAATCGCATGCTTTACAATTTTTACCACGTAAATTGACATCAGCCCCTGCTTTTACTAGCTCTTCCACTATATCATCGTGTCCGTGAGAACATGCTACTGTCAGTGCTGTATAAGATTCAATTTTTATATTGACATCAGCTCCTGTCTTTAACAGCTTTATCACAATACTCAAATGTCCCTTATAACATGCTGCCAAGAGTGGTGTTTCATACACACTTTGTATATTTGCATCAGCCCCTGCTTTTACCAGCTCTTCCACTATATCTTTATGTCCACCCCAACATGCTGCTGTCAGTGGTGTATAAGATTTAATTTGACGATTGACATCAGCCCCTGCCTTCAGAAGCTCCATCACAATACTAAAATGTCCACCATAACAGGCTGCTGTCAGTGGAGTTTCATGTATACTTTGTAGATCTACATCAGCTCCTGCCCTAAGCAACTTCTTCACAAAACTCTCATGCACACGGTCACATTCTACTATCAGTTTTGTATGATAATAGTATTCATCTTGTAGATTAACATCAGCCCCTGACATTAGCAGTTCTTTAACTATATTTAGATGCCCGCCTTGGCATGCACCTTTTAGTGGTGTTTGAAAATAACCTTCTAGATTAACATCAGCCCCTGCCGCTAGCAGCTCTCTTACCATATTTAGATTTCCACCCTCACATGCTGCTATCAGTGGTGTAAGATTATCTAACTTACCTTGTAGATTAACATCAGCCCCTGCCAGTAGCAACTCTCTAACTAAATTAAGATGTCCACCCTTACATGCCACTTTCAATGGTGTATCCAACTTACCTTGTAGATTAACATCAGCTCCTGCCAGTATCAGCTCTCTTACTAAATTCAGATGCCCATTCTTACATGCTGTTATTAATGGTGTTTCTACCTTACCTTGTAGATTAACATCAGCTCCTTTTTCTAGCAGCTCTTTTACTACATTAAGATGTCCACCTTCACATGCACCAATTAGTGGTGTATGAAACTCATTTTGTAGACTAACACCAGCCTCTAGCAGCTCTCTTACTATATTTAGATGCCCATCCTTACATGCAGCTGTCAGTGGTGTATCAAACCCACCTTGTAGATTGACATCAGCCCCTGCCTCTAACAGCTCTCTTACTACATCTAAATGTCCACCTTCAAATGCGGCTATTAATGGTGTTTTCCATTTTCCTGGTTGATTAACATCAGCCCCTGCTTGTAGCAGCTCTCTTACTATATTTAGATGTCCACCATTAGATGTGGCTATTAATGGTGTTGCATCCCGATTTTGTAGATTGACATCAGCCCCTGCCCCGAGCAACTCCTTCACTATACTTATATATCCACCCTCACAAGCTGCTATTAGTGGTGTATCATAAAAACCCTGCGGGTTGACATTAGCCCCTGCCTTTATCAACTCCTTAATTATACTTACATGTCCACTCTTACACGCTGCTGTCAATGGTGTATAATAATCATCTTTCGGGTTGACATCAGCCCCTGCCTCTAACAGCTCCTTAACAACTCTCAGATGTCCACCCTCACACGCAGCTTCAAGTGTTTCGTTTCCCAGTACATATTTAAAATCTAAATCTGGAAAGGTCATATAAATTGTGTTTCTTTTCAGATATTTAATAAACATTCTCACAGTTTCTAAATCTCCATTGTAACAACTCAGCAAAAGTAAGCGCTGGTGTTCAGATATTGATCCGTCAATGTCCCAGTCTCTGAATGACCATAAATTTTCTATTGGACAATTTGCTGCAATATTCTTTTCTCCGGGGTTTCTTGTATACAGTAAAGCAAGATTAAAAGAATTCAAAAAAAGTTCAGATTGCGTTTCTTTGTGCGACTCAGTTTGCTCTAAAATATATTGTAAAATCTTATTGTGTCCGTAGTAAACCACCCAGCTAATAACCCGCACACTGTATTTTGTTTTCAAACAATCACTACCATAATTCACCAACACCTCCTGTCTGCGCCTTTCTCTGTTTCTCTCCTCCCTCTTCTCACTCTCCTCCCTCACAAGCTTTCCTTTACTCACTACCTTAGACACGTCTTTCTGTTCTGACAGAAATAAGGATTTCAGCTCTGAGTAAGACTTTGCTTTTAACACCTCAATAAAAGCCTGACAAACACTGGGGTGTTTTAAAATATCATTCATAAATACATCATAAAGTTCCATATTTTCTATATCTTTGTACAAACGTTCTGCTAACATAGAGTACTGATCCTCCCCTATCCTTATACAGAGATCAAATGACTCCATTTTATCACTGTTCTCAGCACTTAACACGACTTTCTCCCCTTTCTGCGAACTTTCACAAGCAGTGTTTATTTCTTTTTTACCCCCACTATTGACTGCAACTTTTTCACTTGCTTGCTTTGGTTCATTCTCTAATTTAAGCATTTCATCTTTTTGAAGCTTTACATAGTTAGCAATATAACTACTATTCATAAATTGTAAAATGAGATCTAGGAATTGAGAACCAAAATGATGAGCAATGATTTCAAACATGGAGTCATGAATGAAGGTATACTCAGTACCATAGAGTTTTGTGTATGTCCCCTCCATAGCTGCCAATGCTTTAACAAATTTAAATGGATCCGTGTAACTCTCAACTTCACAACTTTCTAATGCTTTTGATTTCATTTCGTAGAAGGCCTTATTTTCTGTGTTTTGTAATATTTCTTTTGATAATTTATTGTCATTTAAAAGGCACAAGACCAACGTAGCATAATGTAACCTATTCTGTTCCTGCATTTTGTTAAACTCTTTTAAAATGCATTCAGTTGGACAAGTAAAAAACCTAATGTTGTTCCTAAATTTGCCTCTTTTGATATGATTTACATCCAACGAGTTGTGTGATTTTTATCCCCGAGCCTTTGCGAGGGGATAAAAACACACAACAAGTGTGGATAAAAATCATATTCAACTACAAAACATTCAAGATTTTTTTTATCCACATTTTAATACTTTTCAACCGATGTTATAAAACTGATTTTATATATTAGGAACTGCTTCTCCTGCTATATTTTACTTCCTCACGCTAACGCAAAAATTTTTGTAGTCAACGTCATAACTGTGGCTTATGAAAACGATATCCCAACACTATTTCCCGGCCTTTTAGTACAATACTTATGATTAACAGTTTCAAAACCTTGAAAACCCCAAAAATTGTTTAAAATTTTATTAAAAATGGAAAATTTTGAATACTGGAGTATCAGGGCTAAATAACAACTTCCGGTAATGGGTCTCCAAGAAATTCATTCAACCGTTAAATAACTGATTTGGCAAAGTAAAAGATGTTCTAACTTTTTTGTTACATAAGGATATGGAAAGTTATAACTCTGCATATAATTTTCAATCCTAAAATTAGGGTGTTGCGTATACCATTGAAATAAAAGAGTATATTTAAAATTAAATCAAAATATTTTGACATGTAAAAACTGTTTATTTTAAAAAAAATGTACTTTAAGGCAAATCGCAAGCACATATATGCATTATGAAATAGTAACCAAAATTTTAAAAAATATAAAATTTATTGAGAGAGAAAACATATTTCTAATATATATCAATGTTAATTACACATGATATATAGTTCAGGCCCATATTGTTGCAATTTCAGTTGGAAGGGGGTCACACTTATGCATGCTTAGTTGGCAGGAGTACCAAACTATCAGAAGATCTTTTGGAAAAGGTTGAAGAAAAACCTTCATCATTTTAATTGAAGGACAAATCATAATTGACTGCCGTCACGAAAAAAGGGCCCTTAAGGTCAAATTTTCACAAATTGACTTTTTGGTAAATTTGGTGATAGCCATGACTCTTGAATGCAAATATACATAAATTTTGAAAATATCTCACTTTTTTGATATTTTATGAGCATTTTAAAGGGAGGCGCTCCAAAAATAACTTTGAGTGTTTGAAACTGAAAACGTAACGACGTCACCTGCGTCTTATTCAATTTTCAAAAAATCTTAAAATCACGTATTATTTAAATAACCTCAATCGTTTTGAGCATTTAAAATATGAGAAAGTATTTATTTTTTTCCTCCAAGCGTGTCAAATGTTTAACTATTCCTGAGGTATTTCGTTTGTTATTACTATTTCTATGCTAATTTTAGAGCAGATCTAGTAATTCGTAAAAGGGAGGGGGAGGGGGTGTCTAGACAGAATGTAGTAGCGGTTTATAACATAATCAGTAGGGGAATAATATTTGTTTAAATCCATAAAAAATCATTCTTTTTATAAAAAATAATCTAATTCAATTTATGAAATATATAAAGAATTTGTAACACATAAAGAATAAAAGAGAAAAAAAATATTAGATAGAGAATCCCATGCAGAAGGACACCACGAGCAAATAGGGGCACCCCTCAAAAGAACATCAATCCAACGATAATGAAAAAACTTGTGAGACAGCATTCACTCACAATCACACACGCAAGTAACTTTCTTCTGTTACTATAATAAAAAAAAAACCATGAATTTTCTGTATCACCAAAAATTAAATTGAGAAATAAATTCAGATACGCTAGGATACGCTAGGATATGTAATCTTGTTTTTAAAAACGTTTATTGCTTTATAAATATTCTTGAAAAAATATAAGTTCCCTTCTTCCCTGCAAGCAGATTTTAAATTTTTTTTACGTTTTTGGAACATTTTATTTAAAAATTAAAATGTTTTAAGCTCTAGGTTTCCAAAAATGTGTATACAATTCATTTTCGTCGCCTGTCTTAGTTATGGAGTAGAAACGTGGTAGTAAATTGGCAAATAAAGGACAAATGAATTATTTATATACCGTATACCTAAAATTGAAACTTTCTTTGAATTTATGCCTCAAATTTAAACCGTCTTTTAACTTCTTATTTTTTGAAAAATTAAATCACAATAAAAATCGGTCACAAATATTTATGCTCATTTACCTTTTTTTTAAAAATATATTTTGTGGCATCTGTACCCTGTTTCACATGAACACAACATTTGAAAATTTCTTACAAGGGCCGCTTCTATGATCTTAAAAAAATATCTATGTATTATAGTGTTTAATTTAATAAAAAAGATGGCAATTGTGAGGTTCTTGTCTCTTTTTTTTATATTTACACTAAAGGGTCTTGATTTTCTGTGCGAAATTACATTTCCATATTAAAATTTTGACGATATCTATTTGAAACTGAAACTGTATGTATACTTAGTGGAGTCTTATTTATCCGGATGCTTTGATTCCTAGTCAATTTGCCCGGATATGTGAAGCGTCCGGATACCGGAATTACAAGTAAATAAAACTTTCGTACCGATGAAAAATCGTTCGGATACATCCGGGCCGGATATCCGGCTTCCTGATATCTGAAGGTCAACTGTATTTTTACGCAAGAACGGCTGGCCCTTAGGAAGCCATTTCAGTTGGGGAGCTATATGTTTTTTTCAGTTGTACATGTTGGCACTTTCAATCACCAAATTTTCCTTGTCAAGCGAAACAATTTTTCACGGCCACGAATGGTCATATACTTCGTATTCATTTTCCTCCGTGAATGGCTAATTAACTTGATATAAGCTTTCATAATTTCGATGCGATTGTCTTATCCAATGATGAACTATTATGAACATTAACAATAAAGTTATTAAAATGAGGCGATGCTGTTAATTAAGTAAATATTATACCGTCTAATCTGACTCTCTTTCGCTGAAATATTTACTTAGGCAGACCATTTTTTCCTTAATCAAACATAAAACACTGCCTTATTCTTTAGCCCTATAGAGCACGAATTTGACTAAACTACATCAAAGAGTGTGTATGTGTGTGTGTGTGGTGGTGGTGGTGGGGGGCATTTCAATGTAAACTCCATCCCCTATCCCCGTTGCTACTTGCTGCGATTGTAATGATCAATATTTTCTTTAAAAGAAGAAAAATTTGTGTTTCTTTATCAATTACTTTCCGTAGGGTCATGTAAGGATTACGATATAAAGTCTTATCTCAATTTCAACGGAACTTTAAGAAATTAGTGTCAAGATATGCGGGGTATTTTGATACATGTATCAGAGTTGAAGATTTCAATGCAAAATGTGGTTTATTTATTTCATATCAAGAATTCAACATTCAGTTTTATAATAATATTTCACGCTCAGTTTTTAAAGATTTTAAAAATGTTCATGACTTTTCAAAATTATAATTTGTTACATACTTTTTGCTCTTTCGGTGAATGTATTTCAAGAGATGTAGCCATATATATGATATCCGGAAAATCGTACTTTTTTTTGCTTAATCTATAGTTTTATTTTTCCTTTTGGTTCCTCATTCATATTATCATTGTCGATGTAATATTGTTCATTTCTTTAACATTGGGTATAATGCTTTTGGGAAAAGTCTACAGTAGCTGTATTTAATTTCTTAACATATTGCAAAATAGGCTCGAGTTGATTTCATTCAATCATTTCATCGGAACAATTTCAGAAATTTGAAACAAAAATAATTTCTACCATACAATTCCTTTGAATGTATTTATTTGATCATTTTAGATTAGTATTTGAAACAAAATTAAATTTAACAAAATTGTGACATCCCTATCATCCGTATTTTTTTCCTCATCATTCTCTATTACTGTTAATTAGTAAAAGGTAAGTTATTAAAACTAAAAGTAAGTTATTTACTGTTGATGTAGGTTTGGATCTCCAATGTTACCAGTATCTTTATCTTATAAAAGAGGGATTATGTTTCTACTAGCTTAACATTTACCGGTCTTTTTATCCGGATATTTTTGTTAGGCTTGTCTTCTTACCCCCCCCCCCCTTAAAAAAAATTGAAATCGAGAGTTCATCGAAGGCTGGCTATCGGGGAACATCAGTGTAATTAAATATGGATTAAAATGACTAAATACCTTCTGTATGTTTTACATTATTACATAATGGTAAAACATAATTATATTTTCAGGGAAAAAGTAGCTCTTATAAAAACGGTAATTACTACATGTATATGTGCATAGACCTCTCGCTCGCTCTTCTCTCTCTCTGACAAAAATATACTAGTCTAGTACATGGAATATACCTTTGATACTGACACTTCTTAACATGAATTCAAATTAAAGTATTTGTAAATTGCCCAGAAAACAAAAAAACAGCATTTTCAATTTCGTCATGCATAGACATCGTTTTAATCGCTGTTCCAGAGCTAGCAATTTGTGCATGTCCAATGTCCCGTATATCAGCATCAAGTTAAATATTCAAACAAAATTATGAATAAATTTACGTACTAAATTGTAATCATATCATATACCTATTAAAAAATGACCGCATCAAGCTTCAAATTTTTGTTACACTTTGAATTCAATTTTATTTCTTGTTTACAAAATGCAGTCAACAAAAATTACTTCCGTGTTTACAATACCGCGACTTTGACGTCGTTTTCTGAGCATTGTGACGTCAAAAGATAAGGGCCCTTTTCTCATGACGGCAGTCATATAATAGCTATGTTTTCTACAGTATATTCTATATTATTATTTGGGGCACGACAAAGTCTGAAGAAGTTGTTTTTTTTTAAAACTATACAAGATGATATGATATGCTGCTCTTTGGCGTCGTTCTACGTCGATGATTGTTTTCATTTTATATATCTCAGTTGATTCGTTACGCAAGAGCATGTTCTACATATGAACGATTTCTTAAACGAGGTAAATTATTGACAAGCAAGTCGATGAATCAAGAATATCAGGAGTGTCCTTTAAAATCATCATTTTGTAAATTTTTTGGTCGCTACAATGACCTTTTCAGTAAATACAATTCATCTTTGAGACATATGTTTACTGACATTTTTCATACTTATTGTTATTCCATTATTTGTACACTGAATTGACGACGGATTTTTGAGTTATTCCCCGATCATGACAAGGAGCATACGACGGGTGTGACCGGTCAGCAGGGGATGCTCACTCCTTCATGACACCTGATCCCACCTCTGATGTTTCGGAGGTCCATGTTTGCTTAGCTTTAAGATTGCATTGTTTTATGGACTTTTATAGCAAACACTGTTTGTTATCTTCATATCCTTCCTTCAATAGAATTTAAAATAAGTAAAAAAAATAAGGTCTAAATAGTTATTACATATTAAATTATGCATGGCTGCAGGGTCCAGAGTTAGCCCCCTAAAGTTGTCGATACACTAGGTATCTGTAAACATCTTATGAAATCATCGGAGTAAGTGCTATCATGGAAAAAGATAGGCGCTTACTTGAGTGGTATAAAAGAATGCTTTTTGTTACGAAAGAAAATTGTTTTGATGAATAAATATTGAGCCATACAGAAATACAGAATAAATACTCCAAGGATACCTTTTCAAAGGAACTTTTGACCTTTTTATGTTACTATATTGACAAGTTTGCTCCATTTATAAGGTACATGTACCAGTTTTATCTTGATTTTAAAAAATTAAAAACCACAAGTAAAGATTGACAATGTCCATGAATTTTTTTTAACAACCCTGGTTTAAATGCAGATATTAATGACAAAAACACATAAAACAAATTTCGGGTTTTAATGATACACAAGTTTACAAAAATAAAATTAAAATATTGTAACTTTCAAATATGAATAATTAAAAATGATAAATGATTAGTTAGATAAAAGAAAATGGAAAAAGTGACACAAATATCAAGACATCGTCGATGGACCAACTCATGATTTGGTCAATAAAGATATCGATCGGGAATAATAATAATGGAAAGAAAATTGACACCAAAATAATTACCCAGTGGCAAGTAGATTTGCACAAATGGTTCAATATTGATCAAAAACTTTTTAAACTTGTAAATGAACAACATGTACAACATACAAACTAAATTTAGTTTTGTAAACATTTATGTACATTGAAATACACTGAACAGCTAACACAAATCTCTCATTCTAAAATCTAACTACCAAAATACATGTATACTGAACAAAAAAAAAGAAACGCATAATCAGAATAATAGGAAATTCTAAGTTTTCAGTTTAAACCTTATATTATTTAAGCGATTTTAGAGTGTTGTGATAAAATTCAATATTGCAAATTGAAAAGTCAAGTTGATGTCATTTTCAGTGCCCCCAAAATCAAGGGGCATAACAATATGTACTGTGCAAAGTGTCAATGCTAGTGGATTTCTAATGTACGGATATTGTGGAGGAATAACATCTCATTTCAGTCTCTTGCGAACAATTTATGCATTTTTATGCATATTTTATCATCCAGCAATTATAGCAGCAGTTTTACAGCAATTTCTAAATCGCATGAGGTGATGAAGGGGGGGGGGGGTTACTGACGGTCCTGCCTGGTTTTGGTTACCTGCGGATGGCATGATAGTGGTCTTCAGACGTTAGTTTTAAGCTTTCAAAGCCCATTGATTTATTTCAAATACAGTTGCAACTTCCTGTTGCGTAGCTCCATTTAGTATCATCGTTAGCCTGGTTGTATTCATCTTTGTTTGGGCGTGGCATTGCAGTATCAACACTGCAATCAAATGTAAAATATGGGTTTAATAGAAGTGTGAAAATTTTCTCTAAATCCAAAATATCAATGAAAATAGACAACTGATTTAGATGAAATCATGAAAAACACTACTTTCATAAACATGTTTAATCAAGGGAGATAATTCAACACTTGGGTTTTAAAACCCCATGTTGTCCTTTAAATAGGTCACAGGTATCCATTGATATAAAAAATAGTTGTTTCATATACATTCTAAAAATTTCTTTGACGAGTAAAACAATATGCGTTTCTTTTTTTTTGTTGAGTATATATTCATTGATTTCAATCAGATGTACGTAGTTGTATGCGACATATGCATTAGAATATTTTAACATATATTTGAAAACACATAATCCACATTCTGCAAAATTTGATTTGCTATTAAGTAACGTCAGTAAATAGATTAAAGCCAGTTTGCTATTACTTGACCTTGCTTTCCATTGTAAAGTCATATATTAGTATTTTTATTTTGTAGAAATAAAACATTTGAACCTATCTATGAAATAATTGATATATGAAAAATTTACAAAAAATAAATTCATTCTTTATATTTCTTTTTTAATTGAATATAAGAACTTTTGTTGCTATATCTATACATATTTCACATGAGTTATTTAGTATTAATAAAATTAGTCTGAACATGTATCAAAAAATTTTTTTCATTACCTTTTACACACACCGTTGTTGCTACAATTGTTAGGACACAGATTTTGTACGATGTTTGTTATTTCTGGATATAAGATTCCTGTAGCGTCGAATTCAACAAAACGAAAGATCGTACACTGTTTCTAGACCTTCTACGTGGATCTGTGTAATAAAACACTTCATCGCCTGTCATCTGAAAATGATTGTATCAACGTAGTAGAAATTCCAAATTTCATCTCATTAACAGACACCCCCTCTCTATATAACAAGATGTAATGTTCTGCAATGGAATTTTCACCTTTATTAGCCGTATTGCTGAAATTAAGAAACAATACTTATCGTTGGAGTAACATTTCATTGCTGATTATTTGTAGAAACACAAACAGTTAAAAAAATTTAGATCATAGAAATTGTTTTTTTATGGTTTTTGAAAATACCTTTATGTCCACACATTTGACATGGTTATGTTAGTTAGATCTGTAACCTTACAATCACTTTTTAGAGGCCTGAAAAGATCTACACAGGCTCTTTGCATACATCGTTTGTACATAACACTGTCTCCGTGTCACCCTAAAATATCAAGTATAATTTTATTAAACTTCAGCATTCCATTTTAAGCCAAAAACTATAAATATATGTAATTCAAGCATTATTGAAATGAAATAAAGGAACAATAATCTTTAACGCATTTGTATTAAAGTCTTATTCACAAGATATAATTTTGATTTTAATTTATTTCTTAACATAAAATGCTGATATTTTTTTTTATTAATGAGAAAATGACTATAAATATTTTTTTTAAAAAGTGAGGGAACTACATGCATAAACTGTCCTTTTTAATGGCGATAGAGTCAAACAGGTTTTATGATATAGGGTAAAATTCATATTTACTATTTAATTTACCATTTTTCTTGAAGTTTGTGGAATATTCATATACCCAGTTTTTTTCCTGCTGCTGTTTTCAATGTGGTGTATCACTTTTCCTTTTTTATCGTTGCAGGAAGTGAAAGAGCTGTAGGAACATTCTGATTTGCCATCTTCCGTACAAGTACAATGCGGCACTGATATGGTTGATAAAGACTCCAAATTATCGTAAACGTCGGCATCACCGTTAAATAAGTTTTCATTATCTCTTACTCTGAAAATAAATAAAAATATTTCCATTTCTATTTTTTTTCTCTGTGATAATTCTTGTAAGTTACATGTAGCCCCTGTTGATTTCTTGACAATTCTACCGGAATGTAAATTTGGTAGGTCGATAGGTCAGGAGCTAAGTTGTTAAAAAATACTACTAGGAAGTTTACATTTATAAAATCAGCAACATCATACCCTGTGAAAAACAACCATTCTCTATGATAAATAAATCCGTGCTCTTTGACAACATAGACAGCCCCTTTTTCAATAAAAATGAAACTCTTAAAGTACTTTTCTTATCCTTGGTAAACTGCAAATTTGTTTTATTGTACACAAAAGTACCCTAGATTTGATATTGACAAGAAACATTAAGAGTTTCTATCATCATATTTATGTAGTTTTTTTAATATTAGGCCTTCGATGAATTTGAATTCTCTTTGGTTTTTGTCAGAAACCCCATGGGTACACTGTCCTTATCGAGCATTATGTGATATGTTTATATTTATACGTAGAAAAATTAAATTTAAAAAAGAAAGATGTATGTTGTTTTACGCCCAATTTTTTCACTGATGTAGAGAGGTCATCATACATCGGTGAAGGGCTTCAAATTTAGACCTATACTCGACACTCAGGACCATTGAGCAGTGGGGGATGTTTGTTTGTGACGAAATGATTTGAAAAATACTTTTTTTGGTCAAATAATTCATTTAGATAACAAATATCAAATAAACACCTTTGAAAATTGATTTTTATGTTAAACGTAATCATGGTGCAAAAAGGTCATATTTATTGTTCCGTAGTGCTAAAAGAATCACAATGACCCCATTTTTAGTTTTGATTTATATATCAAACACCCAATTTTATGTAAATTCCCTAACAATCTACGTGATTCAAGATCAATAATATACAACCTGTCAATGATTAAAAAGCAAAAGCTTCTCTACGTATGAACAATTTCTAAAACGAGGTAAATTATTGACAGACAGGGTGATGAAACAAGAATATCAGCAGTCTCGTTTAAAGTCATCATTTCGTTAAGTTCTTTGGTCGGTACAATTATCTTTCCAGCAAATACAGTTTATCTTTGAGTCAAATGCTGACTGACGTTTTTCAAACTTAATGTTAGTCCATTAATTATACACTGAATTGACGAAGGATTTTTCTGGTATTTCCCGATCATGACCAGGAGCTCATGTGCAATATGACCGGTCAGCAGGGGATGTTAACTCCTCCATGGCACTTGATCCACCTCTACTGTTTAAGAGGTTTGTGTTTGCTCTGCTCCTATTCTGAATTGTTTTATGGACTTTGATATTGAATACTGCATGTTAGTTATCTCCATACCTTCTTGTCTCTGACCAGTAGAGCTAAACATAAAGTCTTTAAGCTATTTGTGTAAATTCTAAAAAGCTACTTGACAAAAATTCTAAATACTTTTGATATCAGGAACCAACCTCCTTAACATAAATGTTGACATTTTTCATACAAGTGACCGGTTGACAGGGAATGCTTATTCCTCCATTGCACAGGATCCCACTTCTGATACTTTAAGAGGTCTGTGTTTGTTCAGTTCTGTTTGTATAATTTTCTTCGATAGAAGTCGAACTTAATTACAATCTGTTTCCTCCATATTTCATATACTTGTTACTGCTAATTAACCCAGTCTTAGCAAAACCAAACTTCCCCTTAATTCACAATATAATATTTTCTTAGTGCGTATACTTTCGTCGCATATAAAATAAGATACAATATGGTGATCTAAAGGTATACGATTTATAAATTTAACTCGGTAGGGGATGCATACTATGCCATGGCGCCTGATCCACTTCTGAGTTTTGGGAGTTGAACTATGTTCAATCTCCCATGGTTGTCACGCGATTTCTAGCGAAGTAATTTTACAATGAATTATATAGCGGCCGTCGTGGTGCTTCTGTGTCGACCAATCTACTCCCCTGTGATATTCAATATAAACTCGCACCAGTCTATATAATCTCGCAGAAACGTCCGCAATAGAAATAGTCCATCTCATTTTTCTGAATTAATCTTATTTTCATAAATGATTTGAAAGTAAATTAAATTGAATTTTATTTAACTTAATTTGAATAGCTTATTTTTGTTATATTCCGATTCCTCATAAACTTTCAATTTCCGGAATATAGTCCCATTCTGCCATTTATCAATCCTCATTATTCAAATAATCCAGTGCTGTTAGTTTGAAACATAAACATAGTGTAATGTAAGGGTAAACTTTATGGTTAACTGTTCAAGTTGATGTCAATTAAAGTTCATTCTCTCCTTTGTATCCCAAGTGGTTCGATGGCCATGATTTAGGAATGAATAGTTTGAAAGGGTCGGAATTATTTAAAATATAGCTTTTGTCTGCTGTCAGAGTAAGAAGCTGCTAAATACATGTAATGTGAAAAGGAACGTTAAGGTTTTACACAACTTCTTTCAATTTGTTTCAGCAGAAACACAGACGTTTCGCTTAAAAAATACTACGAAAAAAAAAAAAAACACTGTCGGACATATATTTGTTCTGACAAGTAAAATGGACTGTTAGACTGAAAAAAAAGTTTTGCCAGACAAGACACATGCACCTCATTTTTTTTTACGTTGGTAAAGGGTGAAAATGATAGCATTTAAATGCTAATCAAGTTTTTTGATATTCGATATCACAATTTCAAATGACATTAATTTTTAATTTCATGAATTTATAGTCATTTAGTTGGTCACGTGTTCAACACTGGAGAACTGAACTTGAAAAATGTACGTGGCTTTAATTAATAATTATATTTTTAATAAAACAATTAAAATGAATCTAAAAATGTGCTGGCTTTAATTAATAATATATTTTTAATAAAACAATTAAAATGAATGTTTGTGTCTGCAGACACATGGTATAATAATCCCTTCTGTGTGAAAACATATTTTTTTCTTGTAGTAGCTCAATAAACTATGTCTGATTTTTAATTACATTTGAATCAATTCAAAAATCACAAACATTAATTGTCACTCGCGTGGAGCAGTTGTTAAAATAATTTGCTCTAGAGATTCAAAGTAAGATGTTGATCCTTGCGTCGCACGTTCGAATCCTGCAGGATGCATTTCGAGACGAACTCTTTTGATGAGACCATTATAAACCGAGATCCCATTTCGCAGAAGTTCCTGGCACAAAACTACCCCTCACTACTCAATGGTTCTGAGTGCTGTGGATAGGTAAAAATTTATAGACTTACAGTGTACATGTAGATTGCTCCATCGGCAAGTGGTAGTGTCTCAATATGAAACGTAAAAGTAATCAAACAAAATTAAAACAAACATAAATGTAAATCCCAAGTATTCAGACATAATTACTTCTATATAGAAATTATTTGAAATGAAATTTAAAAGTATTGGTGGTGGGGGTGTTTGTTTGGTTTGGTCAATGTGTTGTTAGGTTTTTATCAAGTAATTTGGACAGTTTTTCTCTGCCCCATCCCTAGTGGTAGAGCGTTCGCTTCGTGATCGGGAGGGCCCGGGTTCAATTCTCGATCGCGGCGCCGCGTCATACCTAAGACGTAAACAAAGGTAGTGACTGTTCCTTTGCCAAGCGCTCGGCACTAGAAGTGAAAGTCACGGGTCTTTCGGATATGACCTTAAAAACGTAGGTCCCGTGTCACGGTAGGCGTTGGCATTTAAAGAACCCTCACTGCTCAATGGCCCTAAGTGCCGAGTATAGGTCTAAATTTGAAGCCCTTCACCGGCATCGGTGATTCCATATGAGTGAAAAATTTTTCTCTCAGGGACGTTAAACAATATACAATCAATCAATCAATCTGCCCTTCCCCCCTAAACACACTTTCAAAAACGGTGTAAAGTAAATTGAACGTATTTTTAATGCTTGGTGTAAATAACTTTCGAATCGGCACTAATTGACCCGTATCTAAAAGTAGCTGCAGAACTGTAGCTCTCCGAAAAAAATATTTTGGCAGACCGCAGAGTTACAGCGCCACCAGTAAAAACTGTACATTTACTGTGCACGAAAAATTGAGCTTAGTACTGGACTAACTCTCTCAATTCTTACCTCAAACGTGAAAAAAGATTCTATCAAAAATTTTCTCCTCTATGAAGTTCGCTTATATTTGACATTTGCATCGATGTGCGTTGGACCAAATTATCTTTCAGACCAAAATTGTAGCAAAAATATTTTAACAACATTTTATATGATCTCAATTTCAAGGCCGGAAGGGCTTTTAGCAACAATTATAAGGAATGTTTTGTTGTGGAAATAGTGTAAGAATATTTTAGAACATGTCAGTAATATTTTGATGTGACAGTTAAAAAACATGGAAAAATAAATCCATATATGTACACTTTTTATTTACAGTTTTTTTTAAATGAGTGGCACTGTAGCTCTCTGTTCTATCAAAATATTTTTTCAAAGAGCTACAGTTCTGCAGTTCTGCAGCTTATCTAAAAGAACTCCATGATCTTTGCAATTCAAATCAATTGAAATTATTTTTAATGTTTTGTGTTGTATCTCTAATAATTTAGTTCTAGCTGACTTTAATCTGAAAGCATGAAATGTTCCTCTACTTCCTGTGAGATCTTTCAGATTACAATGTTCAACTCCCATGAGTACTGTCAGTACTTTGATTTTAAAGGACTGTGTTTCTTTACTATTTCAGAGGATGTTTGAGTATGATTTTTGTTCTTTTTCTCTTGATTTCATTTGTCTCATCCTACAGAGTCTTAAAAAATAAAATCAAACCTCCAAGAATTAGAGAAGTCGTTTGGATATATGAAACCAGCCTCATCTGTAACAGAACCGTTTCGCCACCTCAGGTCATTTTCTGTGGCACCATCAAAATATCCACATAAACCGTCTACATTTTCTATGTCAATAACTGTGGGGAAAATGTCAATGTCGATGTTAAAATGACCACTCCACTTCAGAATATAAATGGACAAAGACGTGCCAGTTGGAAAAAATATCTACAGAAGTATAAAACAAAAATATTCGCCATATCAGTGAACAACAAGCAGATTCCCTTAATAATTACTCTATACATGGATAAATTTTTGCACCAGTTGTATTTTCCCCACTCATAGGTGGGCGAATTTAAAACGGGAAGAATTTAAAACACAGATTTTAATGTCTTTAACAGAACTGTGATTGGTTGAATTTAAAACGGAACAAAGTATCTGCAAGTAATATCTGATAGGGTGAAAATAAAACGAGAAAAAAAACTATAATACAATCAAAATGGAAGAAAGATTTTCATGCAATTACCTTGTATTACATGTCGTTGACTTTTGTTGCTTTTAAGACATTGTCTTCACAAAGTTCAAAGTTTATGAAGCTGTTACCTTCACAGAAGTTTATTACAAAGACGTCTCTTCCGGCTCTTGCTGCGACTGCGCATATGCACTGAGGATCATCGTATGTCGGAATACATAAATGGTGTTTCGTTTGTATCTATCAAAGAAATTTTTTTTATTATAACATTTCTATCAAAATATTTAGAACAGTAAAGCAGATATTATCAAAAATGTTTATTGTTATAAAAAAGCATAGAAGTACTTATTCAAATTTTTTGGCGAACTTTAAAATTCTGTTAAGTTGCCCTCATGACTCAGGATAAATATTTTATTTTTGATTTGTAGAGATATAGGAAAATCTTTTTCAGAAAATTTTTAAATACTTGTTAAAAGTATAAGCGGAATAAAAAGGGGAAAAAATATCGTAACCTTGAATGTATAAAACGTTTTTGGTCGGGCGATATTCTTCCTAGTCGTTCGGGAGATGACAACCAAACAATTTTTAAAATATATATATATATGTCAGAAGGCTAACAACCATCCTTTCTAATAACCTTTTAAAAACTGGTTTATTGTAGTTTATTATAGAATTAAAGTTTTTGCTTTAGAAGATCCAAGTTTTATACTATTATAATCTGTGTTCTTAAATATAAAGCTCTGAAATCTCAAAATAAAAAGTTCTTGAGTAAATCTGAATATTGAATCAAATTAACAAAGTATTTTCCATAGCTAAATATAGTAAGTTTCAGTAAAGTTATATATATAATCAAAAGTTGTATTCCATTAAAATCGGACTATTTCCTCGGTGTTTAAAAATAAATTTTGTTAAATACTGTTAAAATATATTTTAATTCATAATAAAAGTTGCATCATCAATGAAAACATTTTAAATTATTTCCTTTAATTTTTCGATAGTTTTCGGAATTTTATTTTGGCAAGAACGACTACTGTCTTAAAAAACTGGTTCCCGGCCCCGTGATCGAGACGCTAATGGACGATTTTACTATGTTAAATCCCCAAGACTTTGAATTTGCCGCCGTGTGTATACACCGGTTGACCCCGAGGGTTCGTATAAATGCAGGAAGTTTGGGGGGAAATCAATTTACCTATCGGACATAGGCTGACGACCAAGGTATTTATTTTATTTTGAGATATTTTGCAAAAACGAGCTGACGTTCCGGTTGTGGCACATACTTTTTGGGGCCAGGCACCAGCTTATTTAAAGTTACGTAGTAACAATTATCCAAATAGTTTCTTCAGTCATTATTACACTGAAGATCGTGTTTCTCTTAGAAGAAGTAGAAATTCCCTGAAAAAAATACTATAGTATATACATGCTGCTGTCAGTGGTGTATTATAGTAAACTTGTTGATTGATATCAGCTCCTGCTTCTATAAGCTCCTTCACTACACTCATATGTCCACCCACACATGCAGCTGTCAGTGGTGTATGAACCTCACCTTTTTGATTGACATCAGCTCCTGCTTCTAGCAGCTCCTTCATTACACTCAAATGTCCACCCCCACACGCGGCTTTAAGTGCTTCGTCTCCCAATAAAAATTTAAACTCTAAATCTGGAAAAGTCGTATAAATTGTATTTCTTTTGAAATATCTAATAAATAGTTTCACAGTTTCTAAATCTCCATTGTAACAACTCAGCTCCAATAATCGCTGGTGTTCAGATATTGATCCATCTATGTCTAAGTCTATGAATGACCTTAAATTTTCGACTGGATCATTTGCTGCTGTTCTATTTTCCTCTTCTCTTGTTGAATTAAGTAAAGCAAGTTTGAAAGAATTAAAAAAAAGTTCAGACTCTGTTTCTTTGTGACACTCAGTTTGCTCTAAAATATATTGTAAAATCTGTTTGTGTCCGTAGTAAACCACCCAACTGATAACCCTCACACTGTATGTATGTTCTAATTTATCATACTTCTCATTCACCAGCGCCCTCTGTCTGTCCTCCTCCATGCTCCTCTCATTCCACTCCTCAATCTCCTTTCTCATACGCTCTCCTTTACTCATTACCTTAGACACATCTTTCTGTTCTGATAGAAATAAAGACTTCAACTCTGAGTAAGACTTTGCCTCCAACACTTCAAGAAAAGCCTGACATACCTGAGGGTGTTTTAAAATATCATTCATGAAAACATCATACAGTTCCATATTTTCTATATCTCTGTACAAACGCTCTGCTAACATAGAGTACAGATCCTCCCCTAGCCTTATACAGAGATCAAATGACTCCATTCTATTACTGTTTTCAGCACTCAAAGCCTCGTTTCCCCCTTTTTGTGGGCTTTCACAAGCATTGTTTTTTTCATTTTTACTCTCACCGTCGATTGAATCTTTTTCACTTGCTTGTTTATATTCATTCTCTAATTTGAGCATTTCATATTTTTGAAGCTTTACATAGTTAGCAATGTAACTACTACTCATGAACTGTAAGATGAGATTTGGGAACTGAGAACCAAAATGATGGGCAATGATTTCAAACATAGAGTCATGAATGAATGTATACTCAAAACCACAGAGTTTTGTGTATGTCCCCTCCATTACTAACAATGCCTTAACAAATTTAAATGAATCTGTGTAACTCTCAACTTCACAGTTTTCTAATGTTTTTCGTTTCATTTCGTAGAAAACCTTATTTTCTGTTTCTTTTAATATTTCTTTTGATAACTTATTGCCATTTAACAAGCACAAAACCAACGTAGCATACTGTAATCTATTTTGTTCCTGCATTTTGTCAAACTCTTTTAAAATGCATGCAGTTGGACAAGTAAAGAAACTTTCAATGTTTTTCCTAAAATTGGCCCCATTTGAGTAGAGTTTACACAAAAGAGGAAACATCGCCGATGTTTTTCTCAGTAATGTAGGGGACAATAAATCTTCATCCAAGCCGTACTTCTGAAGAATCGCTTTTTTGTCGTCATCATTCAATGTATTTTCTGGACTACACATTTTGATTACGCTTTCCTCATTAATGAAAAATGATTTGTAACATTCATTAAACACTGCTTCCCGACAGGTCATCAACACTTTTGTTCTTTTATTGGAATGATCTGAAATTATTTTTTCATAGTCAACTAAAGCCTCTAACTTTTGTTTTTGAAGACCTAATACACCTACCACATCATCAATGACAAAAACCTGTGGATGACGAGAGTCAGAATAATCTTCAATCTTCCTAATGTCTATAATAGGTACAACTTCGTATCCTTCTTCCTGGAGTAGCAGGGCTATGTGATGGATCGTTGCTGATTTTCCGGACCCAGGGACTCCAACAAATGTCATATAAGGTTGTCTCTTGACTTTGTTCAGCATTTCCTGGAAAGTGTGAGTTTCACTGTAAACCTCATCTTCTTCTCTCCATTTTATCACTTGTCTTTCATGAAGATCTGAAATATATCATATTAAGCTTGAATGATACCGGTGAATTAAAGGCAAAAACAATTTCTCAAAGAAGATGAAAGGGCCAATTGACATTTACGATCACTTGACTAGAATCGGATTAAAAAAAATTATACTTTTACACAAATCACCAGTACAAGCGAGATTGTTGATTATTGAAATCCTATATGCCAAAGTCTTTATGAATGGCTTGCTTTGATTTGAAAGTCGATCTTACTCGGAGCTTGCTTTTACGAAATGAACCATTAGGAGACAAAAACTGCTATATGCAGGAGATGTTGAATTCCACTACTACTACATATTATCATAAATAAGAGAAGTTAACGATAGAAAAGCGGACGTCATCCAAATTGACATACAATTTTGTTGTTTGTTATTAATAAACTCCCAAATATGAATTAGAAAAAAAAGTCGTTGATATGACATTATGTTCAGTTGAAGGTTAAACTTGTATTATTTGGATAAAACTGTCATCTGAGGTGATTAAACTTGGGTTAATTTAATATGACCAATTATTCCCCAAGCATCTGCAAGTGACACAAATTTACACTGTTTACTTTCATTTTTTTAAAACAAATAATGAAATGAAAAGATTATGACCATCTGACCCCAGTTGATGGCAAAATAAAGATGACAAATTTTGACAGTTATAAATATTCTAGAAGTAAAATATTTACATTTTAGATACTATTTTTTTGATTCAATTTATCAAACACCTAAAACAACAGAATGACCTCTAATCCAATAATATTTTCATGATTAATTTTACAATCATGCACGTTTTGTAGATTTGTACATACCCTTAACATTTGGAGGGATGACTTCCTCTATTTTATCTAAAAATAAATTCGGAAAATCAGTTTTAGGTTGTCTATCGATAAACCTCTTTATTAAAAGAAGTTTTCAACTACACCAAACAAAATGTCATTATTTAGTTGAACATTCGATTTTTTGGGGTTTCTACGTTATTATTTTTTGCTTCAAGTTTTGTAAAATGTGCTTCATAAGTAAAATTTTATTTCATTACACGTGTGTTAGTAACACTCCTCTAATGAAAACTACTGTTTAGAGAGGAGGAGGAAGAATCGACGTTTATGACGTCACAATAGTCCGTACTGCTATACAGTAGCCACACAAACTGAAATTTAGCAAAACTGTAGCTCTTTGCTTGAGAAAATTCGGACAGATAAAGCAGACAGATCCAAGCGTTGTAAAGACCTTCGATTTATGCCGACGATTTTTTGTAGCTACTTAAGGTATTTATTTCGCGTAGTTTTAAGCTTTCTCTGGCTTTAAGAATGGAATCCAATAATAATTCATTCATTTGACTCTTAAATTTGATACTTTGTTTACCTTTTAACGGTTCGAAACAGTCCTGTATATAGTTTGGAAATGTTTGTTTAAAAGAGTTCCATTCCGACGTCCATAAACACAAATGGCCATTTGTTAGCTGTTGAGAGGTACGTTAATGATCAGGACTTAAAGTGGAATGTATGGTTAATTGTTAAATACCATTTAAAATGATTTTCAAACCTGGGTAGTAAAAAATGCAAGAAAAATACCCACAGTGAGCGACAAAAAAAAAAATTGCCGGCGTATATCGAAGGTTTTTACAAGGCTTTATCTGTCCGAATTTTCTCAAGTAGAGAACTACAGTTCTACAGCAAACTGAAATTTAGATACTAAAATAATAAAAATTAAGCTGAAATTTTTCTGACTTCGTCTTTTGTTAAACATGGTTAAATAAATTTCTTATTGTCCTGTGCACCGTCCAATAAGTTAGCTGTATGTGTCCAATAAGATTCAACTTATTGGACAGGTACAGGTTAAATTGTAATTTGAACAAAGGGCGAGGCATATAAATAAACAGTACTTAAAAGGCAATGACAAATCAAGCAATTTTTGAAATATGAACAACGTAGGAATTTAGTATCGTATAAAGTTACATTAAAAAAAATCCTATTGGAAATGGCACAAATATTCCACAGTAAATTGGATGTCTCACATTCATTATTGTAGACGCATCCGTAGCTCCGATTATAAATTTCCTAAATTCATAGTTCATTGTATTAGATTCATTTCACAATGATTGGTCCACAGAACACACATAGATTCCAAACCTTTGGCTTATTGCCTATTTAAATATCCATTTTTCCGCCTTTTTCACAAAATGTCGCTTACAAAATTCAAACGGAATTTTGTTTGTTGTTTCATGAATATTTGTCCATCTAGTCTCGCGTAATTGTTTGAGGAGTGTCTGTCGTCTGTCTTCTAAGTTCGAAACCTACGCATAAAAGAGACACTGTTGCATTTTTAGAAAAAAATTACATCAGATATAATCTCCAAATTTCATAGAAAATGCTTAAAGATTGGTTTGAGGATAATCCTTCAAATCCAATTGCTTTACAAAAGTTAACTTTTAACGAGAAACAGTTTGTTGCAAATACCAAAGCATTTGAATATACATGTACACATGTATATCCGGATTTTACTGTTAAAAAATTGACCTGAAGCATCGTGGTTTAATCGATAAATGGCGTCATCAAAACACTTGCTTCTGAAGGTAATTTTATCATAATTATAATGTACTACGTCATCCTTGGTCGTTGTGTTGTAAAATGAATAAATTGTCAAGAATTTATTAGAACTAACTTTTACGCATGCGTAGTATATATAAAAAATGTCATTTTTAAAGATTAATGAAACTAAACAAAGATAATGTCCTTATTTTTCGATATAAAACACCTCTCGATGATTCCTACTATTTATAAAGAAAGAAGAAAAACAAAATTGTTTTTTTTTAGCTTAACTTAATAAACAGTGCCAGGTAGCCATCCAAGCAGAACGAGACCCTTACCTGTGGTTGTACAATAAGTTAACAATGGAAGTGTTCTACAGTAGTGAAATGTTTTAAGATTTAAGGTTTGTTAAAACATTTCTGTGACGTCATCTTTTGTTAAACCTGGTTCAATAAATTTGTAATTGTCCTGCAACCCGTCCAATAAGTTACCTGTAGGTGTCCAATAAGATTCAACTTATTGGACAGGTACAGGTAACGTTAAAATGAGAACAAATGGCGAGGCAAATAAGAAAACAGCACTAAAAAGGCAATGACAAATCGAACAATTTAATATGAAAAATGTAGGAAATTAGTAGCGTTATATGTTAATATTTCACAAAAAATTCTATTGAAAATGGCACAAATAACCAGTGAATTGAAGGTCTCAGATTCATTATTGTAGACGCATCCGTGGCTCCGATCATAAATTTCCTTAATTCACAGTTCATTGTTATATACTAGTAGTAGATTCATTTCACAATGATAGATCCACGGAACATATAAAGAATCCAATGGACACAAAAGATGGATGAGAAGCATGCATTTTTTTTTATACAAACAACCTTGGGCTTTTGGTTTATTGAAATACCCATTTTTTCCGCATTTAGCACAAACTTTAACTCAGGAAATTCTAACGGAATCTGTAATTTCGTCCGGTGATTTATGACCATTTGTCCACCTAGTCCTGCGTCGTTTGAGCGAGTATCTGTCGTTTTAAGGAGTGACTGGAGTAAAATTCTTATGGGTCGAAACCTGCACACAGAAGAGAAAGTGTTGCATTTAAAAAAAAATACATCAGAAATAGTCTCCCAATTTCATATAAAATGCTTAAACAGTTGTTTGAGTAAAATCCTTCAAATTCTTATGCTTTACAAAAATTACCTGTCAACGGAAACTGTTTCTTGCAAATTCCGAAACATAAGAATATATACCCGGATGTCACAGTAAAAACTTGAACTGAGGCATCTTGGTCTAATCGATAAATGGCATCGTCAAAACACCCGATTCTGGAGGTCTTTTTTTCAAAATTAAATGTACGTCGTCTTCCGTGGTCGTTGCGTTGTAAAATGAATATATTGTAAAGAATTTAGAAGAACTGACTTTTACGCATGCGTAGTATGTATAAAAATGTCGCAATGCGGATAAATAACACTAAACAAAGTTAATGTTCATATTTATCGATATTAAACACCTCTCGATGATTCCTGCTATTAATAAAGACAGAAGAAAAACCAAAACTGGTTTTCTTTGGCCTAACTTGATGAACAGTGCCAGGAAGTCATCCAAGCAGAACGAGACCTTACCTGTGGCTGTCCAATAAGTTAACAATGGAAGTGTTCGACAGTGGTGAAATGTTTTAAGTACGTTATAAGCCTCAAACTGACCATTATGTCAGATATTAGACTCTCCTCGGCGCTAACGCGCCTCGGGTCGTCTAATATCTGACATAATGGACAGTTTTCGGCTTATAACCAGTATGCTATGATAAGGATATGATAATATCTAAGGCTTTCAATACCTAATAGGAACAAATTCAATGAAATTGAATACATAACAGATATGTAAATAAGCATTGAATACCCAGTATATGACAGATTTGGTTAGAGGTATCTCCCCTTTTTTTTAATTTAATAAAGAAATAAGTTTTTAAAAATTTAAGTGGTAAAAAAATTTCAATTGCCATTCTATTTTTTATGTTTCAATGCATCTTTTCACTGCAGTATTTCTTATGTTCAATTTATTTGATTTTTTTTTAAAAAACGCTTTTCCCTAGAGACTTCAATGCAAACTTTGTTAAGTAACTACTGCTTGATTAATGATTATTTAAAATACTTTTTGGCGGGCCATCCTTTTCTACTATAAAATGTTTTTATACAATAGCAGTATCAACTACAGCAATTATCTTGTGACCACCCTAACGAAAAGATAACATAGTAAAGTAGAGTGAACACTTTGTTATTATCAAAAAATTGATTTACTATAGTGAATACTTTGACACAATTTTTTATCATACTGATAGCTATGGTGATCACTATAGAAATCACTGTGGAAAAACCTTGATTTAGAATAGTAATAACTAATAGTAGTTATTTTTGTTAGGATATTCATGGACACAATATACAATCAATCAATAAATATATTAACGTCTACTCACCAACAATTTTCTGTATTTTATTGCTGTTGTCCTTTTCATTTTCTTCTAATTTTCCTGGCAGAAAAAAACAGTTTTTAAGTATGGATTTATTGCAGAAACAAACTTAAACAGTATAAAGCTTCATGTCGAACTGAATAATCAAATTTACTTTTCAGGCCTTGAACCATTTCTCTAGTTTCTGCATCTTCTTCAGCCTGTTTCCTCAGTTCTTCTATGTAATGACAGTCACGGACAGGGTCCATGGTCTCATGTCTCAAAAAGTCCACCTCTCTTTCAAACTTGTTCCCGTTGTTGAGGAAAGAATCAATGTCCACAACTGCTGATCTGACAGTGGACCAGATTATGTTAAAGTCAGCATTGGAGAGGACGGGACTAGAAGAATGTACACACTGATTTCTGGCAATACGGATTCTCTCAATGTTGGCAGAGAGAGATCGATCTGTAGGGTCTGGATCATATCCCCAGCCATTGCTGTGAGGTGGTATACCACAAATGTTTCTAAGTAGTATATACAATAAGGAAATGTCCATATCACCATAGTTCCCTGTATAACTACTACCTCTCGGTAAAATAAGATTCATCTGTTGAGCTGTCAGACGGGGAAGATTACTCCTCTTTTGTTTAATGTCGTATGGGAATGTTGACAGAGGTACATGGTGAACTAAAACATCACGTAACTCATCTGTACATGGACCCAGGAGAAGTCGACAGGCTCTACAGGCATTTGTCGTCTCCTCTGTAGAGGCGTATGGGGAGGAGGCCATAGCAGTCGTTTAATGATTTTCTGAAAGGTGGTTACAAAAAAAAATGGCAATCAAATAAAAAAAACTAGAATTGTCTTTTAATAGAACTACACAATCCCTTTCACACAGAACACCTAGAAACTTGCTTACGTTGACATAAGTATAAAGGATTTCTGCCTTCTTAAAGACATTGACTTTTGTTAAAAAGGCAGGTTTGTAACACTTCTTGGCAAGAGGAATGTTTATGCTTAGTATAAAAGATAAGCCTTCCAAAATGCAAGGATTACCTTTATGTGCATAGTGACACATCTGCATGTCATATGTAACCTCAAAATTATACTTAGAAAAGAAGGGCTTTAGTAACATATAATCATCTTATTTAGAACAAGAGGCCCATGGGCCTTATAAGTCACCTGAGCATCATGCAACAACTTTACAACGATTGACTTTGGTTTATGTTTTAAACTAGACGCCATGGCATTCACAATTTTGAAGGAGGCACCATTGATAATTAAAAATACATGAATACACTTAGCATCTTTAGTTTGGTTACTAAATACCCACAGACAGAGTAGGGGAACAAATAAAATGCATTTCGACTAATCAGTAATATTCAGCAATAATCAGTATAATGCCACTACCATACATAAACCCCTGACTCTTGGTCCACACATTTCACAATTTTGGAAAAGACACCCTTGCTTATCAAAAAATATTTGATTAATACAAAGGAGAATATTTCTATCAATTAATTCATTTTTAGTATATAGGTAGAGCCCCTCTCTAAGGTACCCCTTACCTAGGGGTATTGAAATTAACAATTCAGGAAGAAAGGTCCTTGCTCATCATAGCTAAATTGGTAGTTCATCTGCTTAATACCCAGAAGCAGAGAAGATTTTATAACAATTTCTGTATTTTCTCCATATAACCAATCGAGCCCCGCCCTAACAACAAAACCCCTGATCCTAGGGCCATAAAAATTCACAAAGGCATTCTTCCTCATTATGACTATGTACTAAGTGAGTTTATTTGATACTGCGAAATCATCATTGTTCGTGGGGTTCCAGTGGTTGTAGATTTCGTGGTTAACCCTCATCCACGAATTTACATTCCCATGAAATTTATTTTACAAATATATTTATTTATTGAATCTTCAGTATATATATTAGTTACCCATGAAATAATGTCCCCACGAACCAACAAAATTTTGCTTAACCAAGAACATTGGCATCCACGAATTAAAATGATTCCACAGTTCCCAGGAGCAGAGAAGAAAATTTTCAAAGAATGCATGTATTTCACTATATAATTAATATAGCCCCATGCACCCTAACACCAGAACCCCTGACCCTGGGGCCATGAAATTCACAATTTTGGAAGAGGCATTCTCGCTCATAATAACTATGCACTTAATTAGTTTACTTGATACTCAGGAGCAGAGAAGAAGATTTTCAAAGAATTAATGTACTTTCACTATACAATCAATAGAACCCCGCCTTAACATCAGAACCCCTGACCATAAAAATAATTCACAATTTGGGAAGAGCCATTCTTGCTCATCATGACTATATACTTAGTTTTCGTTAAATACCCAGCAGCAGAGACGATTTTCAAACAATTTTAAAACAATTTTCTCTCTATAATCAATAAGACCCTGCTCTAACACCAGAACCCATGACCTTGGGGGCGATGAAATTCACAATTTCGGAAGAAGCATTCTTGCTCATTATAACTATCTACTAAGTTAGTTTGTTGAATACCCAGTAGCAGAGAAGAAGATTTTCAAATAAATTCTCCATTTTCTCTATATAATCAATAGAGCCCTGCCATAGCACTACAACCCCTGAACCTTGGACCATGAATTTCACAATTTTGGAAGAGGACTCAATGGTCATTATATTCATGCTAACAGTTGACTGCTTGATGTCCAGGAGTAAAGAAGAAGATTTTTTTCAAGATTGCACTAATTTTATTGGTTTGGACCCCACCCCTCAGGCCCCAGGGGGGGGACAGGGACCATGAATTTCAAGATTCTTGTTCCCCTTTACACATAGATGCTTTGTGTAAAATTTGGTGAAAATTGGTTGAGTGGTTGAAGAGAAGAAGCTGAAAATGTTCAAATGTTAACACACGACTAATGACGACGGACGAAAACGGATAGAAATAGTACATATAAAAATAATAAAAATAACAATAAAATAATAAAAATAAAAATAACAAAAATATGAAAAAATATTCTTCCGAAGAAATCGTTGTAAAATATCAATGTAAATCTAAAGAACATTAGTTTCAGGGTCTTGATACCATGGTTGGTCCGAATTTATCAGGAACAGAGTTATCCTGACACCTCCGAATGCATCTGGAACACATCGGGACTTTCACAGAAAGGCCCGAGGTGTTCTGGATGCTCCGAATGTAAACAAACAGGCCAGTCTGCTTCCCTCTCCTGCTTTTCTTTGTCTTTGTAGAAAATTAGGCAAATGATTATCAAAAATTCTTATGCAAATGAACTATTTTGTTTGACTTAGGAAAAGTTTTCAAAGTCATTACTACTGATGTTTATTTGTACAGATAAAACTTCCGATTTTTTGTTGCTTTATTATCGTTTGTATTATCTCGATTGTGAGTCAGTACTATATTTTACAAGGAACTTTAATTTGGCGACTATGGGGCGGACTTCCTGTCTTGAACAGACTGATATAAGCCGGCAATTGCCCTTTGAGCAATACGCCCGGCTAACAAAAGAATTTTTACCTCCGTTAAGAAATAGCTTACTGAACCCTTTATTAGTGAAGTTACCTGGCATAAATTACCTGACATCCAATTTACACCAGGAAACAATTCTTCAAAAATCATAAAAATAAATATTTTAACAAATGATGATTTTCTGATCTACGCTTTTTTAGAATAATGTAACAGAGGCTGACCTTTATCCTGACCTCTACGCACAAATCTCTTAAATATAGGACACAAAAACAGGTGATAAGGAAGTAGAATACATCTGATAAACAAAAGTCAAAATCAAGTTTTTGCCATGTAAAACTCCTTGTAATCAAATGGAGTAGAGCATTCTCTGAAATCATCGAACACAACACAGGTCTGAAAACATTTGTTCTGTAGAAATTCACAATCTTAAATAATACGACTCGTGTGTGCTGTCAACAGCAATTGACAGAAAGATACAGCTCTCACAATGACGCAAACTTCCGTTTTTATAAAGTTGAGTCTTCATTGAAAGGTTTAAGCAGAAGGAAGTAGAATACGACTGGTAAACAAAAGTCAAAATCAAGTTATTGTCATACAAAAATCCCTGTAATCAAATGGAGCAGAACATTCTCTGAAACCATGCGAAAACAACACAGTTCTTAAACATTTATTCTGAGGAAATCTTAAATGATACGACTCGGTTGTGTTGTCTACAGAGATTGACAGGAAGTTACAGCTCGCACAATGACGCAAACTTCCGTTTTTAAAGTTAAGTATGAAACTTTATTGTATAAGAAGATCTGACAACTGCATTATTTAAAATAAACAAATAAACCTCACAAAACTTAAATTACAAGCTGTAGGGCTAGCTAGCTAGATATATAAAGTTTTTGTTAATAAGTATAGCTTTGTGGATGGCCAACCACATGATATTAAAGATATGAAAATAATTTCCGAGTTCCTTTTCTAAGGTATGTCACTCGTGAATTTTGTTAAATCAAGGATTTTTTGAAAAGTGTATTCTGGATAAGTACTCATAGAATGTGACTCAAAATCGTAGAGAAAATAAGGGGACAGTGTACATCTTACTGATCCACGGTACAATTAAGTTGAGCTTTTTGCACTTATACTTTAACTTTTTGTAAATTACTTTTACCATTATCATATTTTATCAGATGTATTCATGGCAATAAATATATTTTAATTTTACGTAAAATAGTTTGAAAAATATTTATCATTGATAAAATTTTGCAAATTAATGCGCGTAAATTATTGTGTGACCTTTTTGCACTAAAAATTAACATATTTGGGGTATAAAAAAACTAAAAAGGCAATTAAACCTTTCCTAAAATTAAGCTTTTTACGACTTTAGTGCTGATCAGTCACAAATATTGAGTTCTTTAAAATAATGAAAGAAAAAGTTGGTGTCAGTGATGTTGATTTTGAAAGATTGGTCAAAATATGTGATTTTCAGGCGAAAAATTGTATAAATTTTATCTAAACTTATTTGACATATCTCTTTTTGTGGCAAAGTTTGTTGAAGGAGGGTTTAAAATTTGTTCAAAAAAATATTAACTAAGACCTATATTAAATATTCCTAGCAATATCATAACGGAAAATATTTTCCGGTTAATATTATGTTAGGCTTAAATACAAAGATGTGCAGATTTGCAGAATTATCTGCTAAATATCCTTCCACCACGAGAAATAGTCCCCCATAAACCTTGCTTCTTTGTAGTTTTTTTCGAAGATTTTTTTTTGTTGAATGTTAAAACATTAACATTGTTGAATTCAAATATGTTATAAAAATTGAATTATAAAACCTAGTTTTAAAGCAAGAGGATCTGCGTGAACTTTTAAAAAAAGCTGACGAGTGACATACCTTAAAGCGTAATCATTTATTTATAAATTTTTGATCACTTATTCTTTTTTATTTTACTTCAAACAAAAAATCACAACCTGTAGGTTAGCTAGATAGACAGAAAAAAATCTCTGTTAATGTCATCATAGAGCAAGGAAACAAAATTCTTTTAAAATTTCTTTTTTCTGTTAAATAATTTGTATAAATATAAATCTTGTTAATAACTTTGTTCTGAGGAAATCGGCATATATTCATCTATTCATTGTGTATTTGTCTATCTAGAGTCAATTATTGATATAGAGCCAGTTAGGGCGCTAAAGACCTTTTAAATAGATGAAAGAAGGATATGGAGATAACGAACAGTATTCAATATCAAAGTCCATAAAACAATACCAAATAAGAGCAGAGCAAACACGGACCTCCAAAACAACAGAGGTCAGATCAGATGACATGGAGGAGTGAGTATCCCCT